TAAGATCCATCAGTAAAATCAAATGGGGAACTTTGCATTTAATTGTTTGTTAGGCATTCTGTGTATCTCCTCTGGGGTTCTTGATTCTCCCTTCTGTACTCCCTTCCCTCAATTCACCACTTCCAGAGCTCTCCTTGGGGCTTCTATCCTATTCCACAGACCTATTTGGGTTCCAGTGCATAATTACAAGTATATCTCACCTTTCAAGGCATCTGAGTCAGATGGGAAGCCTATTTGCATTTCCCTGATTTTTATGGTCTGATAACATAGCCTCTTTCGTTATTCCTGGTCTACCACAACCTACATTCCTCTTAACCTCCTCCTTTTTTGCAGTGCTCTGGGGACAGTCAGGCTACAGGCCACTCAGATCAGAACTGGGAATCATTTGATTAGTTATCATGTAGTGCCACAAATTAGCCAGGTATTACTGGTAAAATCTAAGAATATTTCTAAGTATTGCTTTGTGCAAAACTGTACTTGAAATAGATTTGTGATCCCTCAAATACTACCATGAAGTAAGAGAGATGAGAGCTGGTGGAAGTAGCCTAGTTGCCTTCAAAGAAAAGGAGGGCTTGTGTGGAGATCTGCTGGAGCTTAAAGATCACCATTATGTCCCAGGCCTGGTTCCTGGTTTCAAGCCACAGAAACACACTTCTGGAACAGGGGATGCCATGCTTTGGCTCAATCAGCTAAACACCTATGAAAACTGAGGTAGATGTTGCAACGCCAATATACAATTGTTCTGCCATCTAAGAAAGCCTGGTGTCCTTGTTGTGGAATCACTGCACAAGGACAAGTTCCTCAGGTCTAGATCCCCTTTCTGATGAGGCTGCCCACACCTGTGCATCTCCTATAGCAAAGTTCCAGAGCTGTCACTGCCCCCAAAAAGTCATATAGGAGACTGAGAAGGACATCACAATGTCAGTTTATTAATTTACTAGGAGAAATAAAATGTTTAGGAATATACCTAACCAAGGAGGTGAAAGACCTCTGTAAGGAAAACTACAAAACACTGCTGAAAAAAGCATACATGAATCAAACAAATGGAAACACATCCCATGCTCATGGATGGGTAGCATCAATATTGTGAAAATGACCAGACTGCCAAAAGAAATCTACAAATTCAATGCAATTCCTATCAAAACACCACTATCATTTGTCACAGAACTAGAAAAAACAATCTTAAGATTCATATGGAACCAAAAAAGAGCCCACATAGCCAAAGCAAGACTAACAAATCTGGAAGCATCACATTACCTGACTTCAAACTACACTATAAGGCCATAGTCACCAAAACAGCATGATACTGGTAAAAAAATAGTCACATAGACCAACAGAACAGAGTAGAGAACTCAGAAAAATTGCCAATACTTACAATACTTATAGACAACTGATCTTCAGCAAAGCAAACAAACAAAAAAAGTAAAGTGGGGAAAGGACACGCTACTCAACATACGGTGAAGGGATAATTGGCTAGCCACATGTAGAAGAATGAAACTGGATCCTCATCTCTCACCTTATACAAAAATCAAGTCAAGATGAATCAAGGACTTACATCTAAGACTTGAAACCATAAACATTCTAGAAGATAATATTGGAAAAATCCTTCTAGACATTGGCTTAGGAAAAGACTTCATGACCAAGAACCCAAAACCAAATGCAACAAAAACAAAGATAAATAGATGAGACTTAATTAAACTAAAGAGCTTCTGTACAGGAAAAGAAACAATCAGCAAAGTAAACAGATAACCTACAGAATGGGAGAAAATCTTCATAATATATACATCTGACAAAGGACTAATATCCAGAATCTACAAGGAACTCAAACAAATTAGCAAGTAAAAAACAAATGATCCTGCCAAAAAGCGGGTTAAGGATATGAATAGACAATTCACAAAAGAAGATACTCATACATGATACACAAATGGCCAAGAAACATATGAAAAAATGCTCAATGTCACTAATGATCAGGGAAATGCAAATTGAAACCATAATGTGATACCACTTTACTCCTGCAAGAATGGGCATAATAATAAAAAAAGTAGATGTTACTGGGGGTGTGGTGAAAAGGGAACACTTTTACTCTGCTGGTAGGAATGTAAACTAGTACAACCACTATGGAAAACAGTGTGGAGACTCCTTAAAGAACTAAAAGTAGAACTACCATTTGATCCAGCAATCCCACTACTGGGTGTCTACACAGAGGAAAATATGTCATTATACAAAAAAGATACTTGCACACACATGTTTATAGCAGCACATTTCACAATTGTAAAAATGTGGAACCAGCTGAAATACTCATCAATCAATGAGTGGATAAAGAAATTGTAGTATATACATATCATGGAATACTAATCGGCCATAAAAAGGAATGAAATAATGGCATTCACAGTGACCTGGATGGGACTGGAGACAATTATTCTAAGTGAAGTCAGTCAGGAATGGAAAACCAAACATTGTATGTTCACATTCTTAAGTGGAAGCTAAGCTATGAGGGCATAAAGGCCTAAGAATGATACCATGGACTTTGGGGACTCAGGAGGAAGGATGGGAAGGGGGTGAGAGATAAAAGACTACACATTGGGTACAGTGTACATTGCTTGGGTGATGGGTGCACCAAAATTTCCAAAATCACTACTAAGAAACTTACTCATGTAACCAAACACCACCTGTTTCCTTTGGAAATTATTAGATCTTTCTAGGGGTCTAATACACTCAAAGTTGGAGTCAGGCTTTCTCTTAATGCCAGCCATATCTACATGAAGGACCTAAATCCTAACTAGAGATTTTTGGTGGACGTGGAAATGAAACAAAGGAAGTTGTGCTTACAGCAGATAACTTAATAATGTATCCACCTCACCACAGGGATGCCCTTGGAACCCTACAGTCATTTAGTCACATCCCTAGGAGCCTTGGCTTTGGAAGTGCAAATTCCTTCTCCCAAATCTGCTGAGGACACCTGCCTCTGAGCCTGCTTCCACAGGGGACTGTTTCTCCTCCTACCCCTTCCTCAGCACCTCCTTGATTTCCTTTTTCAGACATGTTAAATCAAGTTCCAATTTGACGGGTGCCCTGGGGACCTATTTTCTCTCTTTCTTGCTTATTTATGCTCAGATCTATTCTGTGTGGATTTCAGAGTTCAGTTCTGAGGGAAAGTCTTACTTCCTGTATGCGGAATAATTCTCAAACAGGAACAGGTGAAGCTGTAGCTTACCACTTACCTGCGCTGTGGGATCAGCCAAGCTACCTGTAAAATAAGGTCATCCAGGCTGCTCCACCCATGGGTTCCTTCATATTCTTAGCATCGGTTGGTTGTGTTTGTTCCCAAATGCATTAATGCCAATTGTACTAGATATTGTAACTTTATAGTTTAATTATAAAACATAAAATAGGGCCAGGTGCAATGGTTCATGCCTACAATCCCAGCACCTTATCAGGGTGAGGAGGGAGGACTGCTTGAGGCCAGGAGTTTGAGACCAGCCTGGGCATAGTGAGACCACCGTTTCTAAAAAGTTTTTTTAAAATAATAAGCTGGGCATGGTGGTGTGTGCCTGCAGGCCCAGCTACTTAGGAGGCTTGTTAGAGTCCAGGAGTTTGACACTGCAATGAGCTATTATTGAGCAAGACAACTACAAATTATATAAATTTAGGGCTTGCACTCAAATTGGTCTACAGCTATCTATTTCTGAGACAGGCTTTCACTCTGTCACCCAGGCTGGAGTGCAGTGGTGCGATCACAGCTCACTGCAGACTCAATCTCCCCAGGCTCAGCATCCTCCCACCTCAGCCTCCCAAGTAGCCCGTACTGCAGGCATGCACCACCACACTCTGCTAACTTTTTTAGATTTTTTTTTTTGCAGAGACAGGGTTTCATTTTCACTTACTAAAAACTGGAGATTGTGAACAATACCTTATAGATATGTTTTAGGCATAAAACCAGCAGGGAGGAATATTAAAAGGAATGACATTGTCCCCACACCAAAAGATTACTGGATAAACGTATGTTGATGTCTTCTAATAGAAAATAAAATGTTTAAACTAATGTTAAAACTATTCTTATGATTCCTTCCTTTAACTTTTTTGATTTCCTGACCAAATAAGTCAGATAAGAGTGATTCAAATGTAAATATGAGTAATGACAATAACATGATAATTATAATGGCTACCATCCATGAAACTACATTTTGTAACAAATATAGGTTATTATTTAAGTGTAACATTAACTTCGCTTATTAATATGCCACTACAGATTATCTTCTAAAGCAATGTATAAGCAAGTAGGCCTTCTTGCTCAATATTTTTCTTTTCTCCCTTCACTTCGCTTGGGACGATTAGTATATGCTGCAGCAGCAACCGCAGGGAATTTCTACCTCGAGCATCAGTTTCAGCAAACTCTCTGGTCCTTCACTGTGGCCAGGAGGCTCTGCTTGGTTCAGATGCCCCCTTTGTTAGGTAGTGTGCAGAGACTGGTTTTCTTTTGCACCTTTAGGTGTCATCTGGAGTAAAAGAGAAGGAATTCCTTGTCTGATCAGAGGAGCCCTTGCTTGAGGACTGCCCATGCCAGTGGCTTGGGTGAACACTACATCCAATAACACATGCTCTGTCTTGAACAAGTTTATCCTCAGCCTCCACAGAACCACATTTTGGACCAGGAACTCCAAAGCCCTTGGTGACTCACTGAGGCAACATTTCTTGTTATGTTTCCACTCCTCCCAACTTCTTTCTGTGAGTTTTTCCTTGTTCTGCCTTCAGGTTCTCTATCTCTCCCTCCCTCTAGTTCTGATGTCTACAGGGGCAAGAACCCACTGCTTCCTAAATCTAGGAGTTGGGTTTCCAGTTCCTACTGTCCTCTATATTCTAAGAAGGTAAAGAGTAAAGTTTAAATAATCTCTTACAAGTAGGGACTCAAGGAGCTCAAGTTAATTCACAACCACTGTGTGGAGACAATAAAGCCACAATTTCAGGATTGGGGAGGGGCAGAAAAAAACATCAGAAATGGCCCTTTAACAATTTGCTGTATTATATTAGAAATGCTTATTGGAAAAATATCCAGGAATACATGCCTCAAATCTAATATACATAAGAGACTTACTGGGAGAAATAGAAATACATTTTATATTAATCTTGAAAAATCAATTTCCATTAATAAATAGAAGTACAGGACACAAGTTGAAAACAGCATAGATCAGGGTGTCTTTTTTTGAAGAAAAAGGATGGTGTTGCTGTTCATAATTACAAGAAATTGATGATAATACTTTAAATAAGTTAACTTTGGTCCATCACGCTTACTTCATGGTGTGCAGAAAACAGCACTTGAATGATTTTTTCCCTTAATTCGTTCTAAATTACAGCAAAGTGCTCTGCAAGAAAAAAGTGCTTGTGTTAATTAACTCTGAGTAAAGAATGTCACCGGTATACATTGGGCTCATTTTGTGGTCTTAGTAATTGGCATTCTTCTGCAATTAGAATTCATCATTAGGTATTACAGGCACATGTGGATTTTCACTTTTTTAAATCCAGAATTTCAGATTTAGGCACATTTTAAAATTTTTCTCTAAAAATATTCTGACCTCAAGCTAAAAACTCGCTTTATAACTCAAAAAATATTAAAGAAAGCTGTTTTTTTCTAACATTTCCTACAATTTAATACATATTGTTTGTTAAGCCCTTCTCTACTTCTGACAGAATTAATCAGCCCCCTCCCTTTTTCTCTGATTCTCTTCCTCTTGATATTATTTATGTCACATTGCATTGCACTTATTATTTACATATTCCTCTCCCCTGAGACTGAGTTCTATGAGAGAAGAGATGGGGTGTTATCAGTATTTATAGCCTCAGAGTACAGGACACTTTCTGGGCCACAGTAGGATTGGATCTAAATAAATGTTTACTGATCAGAATTGTTTATTAATATATTTTAAGTGCCGCCCATATACATTAACATAACAGTGCTCGCTAACATACGTTAAAGTGTGTAAGACTTCCCCATTTAGGTTTTCACTTTCTAAATCAAAGGTTGGCAAACTTCCTGCAAAGGTCCAGAAAGTGAATATTTTAGGCTTTGCAGGCCATTCGGTCTCTGTTGCAACCACTCAGCTCTGTCATGGAAGCATGAAAGCAGTCATGCACAATATGTGAGTGAATGGGGATGGCAGTGTTCCAATAACTTTAGTTTCAAGATGGGCTGCAGGCTAGATTTGGCCCTGCCAACCCCTGCTCTAAATCTTTGAAAAGTGGGGAAAGAGGGAATAAATATTTCAACCATGTATCTTGATAATCCCTACAAAATTTCTTATAAATATTGGCAATAAGAATTCTGATGTACATGCCATTTTGGAAATGTCTCCCAATTTTTCTTCTCTAAGAATGGAATGGAAACTGAGTTTTCCCCTGCCATACCCTATTAATACTAAGGCATAATGTTGTAAGGGATAAGCAGGAGTATGAGAATTAGAAGTGCTGATGAGACAGGGAAGTGACACAAAAGAAGACTGCAGAGAAAAGAGAGCAGCAGATGGAAGCCAGCGTGGCCTGCAGCAAGACGTGTCTGGGTCCTAATGCTAAAGCGGATGGTGTGTTAGGTAGGCTGGAGCCACACAGGGTTTTGCCCTGCTTCTCATCTAAGACAGGAGAGAAAAAATGTCATAGAGCAGCAGTCCTCAAATTTTTTGGCTTACATATAAATTTAGAATTGTGAAAGAAGGCATATCGCTTCACGAATTTCTAAGTTGACAGCCAACATTTTTTATAATTAGGATGCAGTTTTCAGAATATTATTACTAATCATGTTTAAAAATAAAAGTGCCTTGCCACCATTTTAATATATCCAATGGAACCTAATATCATAGCAAAATGTTAACTTTTTATATTGAAACGATTTTAGGTTTATAGAAAAATTGCTAACTTAGTCCAGAAAGTTCCTGTATAGCCTCCCTTGGCTTCTTCTAATGGTACATCTTACAAAACCATGGTACAATCATCAAAACAAAGAAACCGATACTGGCACAATACTATTAATTAAACTACAGACTTTCTCATTTCCCCATAATGTCCATTTTCTATTCCAGGATCCAATTTAGGATTTCACCTTGCATGTAGCTGTTATATCTCTTTAGTGTCCTCCAATCCTTGACATTTCATCAATTTTTCCTTATCTTTCATGACCTGGATATTTTTGAAGCGATCATTTATTTTGTGGAATGTCCCTCAACTTGGATTTGTCGAATGTTTTTTCCTAATTAAATTTAGTTTATGCATATTGGGGAGGATACCAAAGAAGTCATGTGACCTTCTCAAATGCATTATACCAGGGGATACATGATGCTGATGTGGCTTATTACTGCTTCTGTTAACCTTGATCCCTTGATTAAAGAAGTTTCTCTAAAGTTATTACTTTCCCTTTGTAATTAGTGATTATCTTGGGGGAAATACTCTAACGTTATGCAAATACTGTTTTTCCTCAAACATTCACCCAATAACTTTAGCACCAATTGGTAGATCTTGCCAACAACAATTATTACTGTTATGTTTTCCTAATAGAGATTTTTGTTTCTTCTATCTCTTCTACATTTATTAATTGGAATTCTACCGCAGAGAAGAACTGTTAGTTCTCTCCTTTTCATTCACTCTCTCATTCAATTGTTTACATCAGTATGGTTACATGGATTAGAACCCATACAATAAATATGGATAACTATGGATATTTATTGTATGGGTTATAATCAAGTATTACAATTTTTTTTTTGCTCCAATTGTTCCCACTTTTTCATTGGGGAGCTCCTTCAGGTTGTCCCTGTACCCTTCAGATATGCCGCATCTTTTTGTGAGCACCTCCTTATTTTCCGCTATCACAAGATGTTCCAGTTTCATGTTGTATTTTTCTACCGTAGATCTGGAATCAGCCACTTTCTCAAGAAGCCTAAGTTCCTTTGACTGGGAGACACTACAACAATTTGGATTCTATCATAATCTATTTTAAAATAGAAATACACACAAATAACCTCTTCAGCAGTCAGAGATATTACTTTCTTTCATTCTTGTAATTCCATTCCAGCTCCCCCACAGAATTTTATCCTAAAGAAATATACTTTTATTTGTGAAACATTTTATTCATTACCTTGTCATATTTTGCTGCAGTAAAAATATGTATATAAATTAAAATTATTTTTTAAGAAGTCTCTGTGAACATAGGCTCTATGTATTATATATTTTCTTCTATATTGAGTTGTCATTTCAATTATTGTTAGTATGCAATTGATCAGAACAAGATAAATATGGTACAGAGATTAAAATAAGATTAGTATATGTCAAACTAAAATGATAGCAAATGGATCCCTTAATGAAATGGATGTATCATAGATAAAAATTAATTAGTATTAATTAAAAATTGCTAGTATGCATCAAGGTTCAGCATCAATTCTGTTCTCTCTTTTTTTGCACGTATACATGCTGAGAAACTCTAGTAGAGATTGCTAGTGCTAACTGTAGACAGTTATCCTCTCCTTCCTGAGCACACAAAGCAGAAGACTTCCTGGACTTCCTTTCAGTTAGGTTAGGTCATGTGACTAATTCCAGCCAATGACCTGCGAGTGGAACTGCCACGTGTTGCTTCCTAAACCCGGGAACTTAACAGATCTCTAGTGCCATAGCAGCACTGGAAGCCCCATGTTCTGCAGGTAGGACACAGCTTGGATCTGTGAGTTACTGCTTGGAGGCAAGTGTCCTGATCATAACAGGCTTCACATGACCAAGAAATTAACTTCTGAGTTTTTTTTTTAATCATTAATATCACAGGGGTTGTTTCCACAGCATACTCTAACCTATCCTGCCTAACATATAAACTTTGTTCATATAAATAAGTAGATGAGAATAAAAGGAGGTTCGTTATAACAATATCCCTCTATTACTTGAATTCCTTTCTCCTAGGTGCCAAAAAACAGTGATTCTACATTAAAAATTACTTTTTATCATCTATCACCTAGCTGCTTGGTTATGTCCTCCTTCAGTTTTCCTTAAAGCAAAGAACTGGAAAAATGCTATTTGCAAAATGATTTGTTACCCAGTCATTAGAATGATTCATGTCAATTTCCTAGAAGTAAAACTAAAAGGCTTTACAAAGACTTTTCAAATAACTGTTCATTATGCCTATTACTCTTTCACTTACAGGCACTGTGCTTTACCTGATGTACAAATGAAGGCTGGGAAAAGTTAAATATTAATTCATTATAGTTCGGTCAATACCATTTTTCTATTAAAATGTCTTTATCATATTACAAGCTTTAACCAGAACACAAGAGGAGCAGATTTAGTTCATTAAATTAATACAAAATGTTCACCATACAACGTAATTGGTAAAGTCAATCCTTGTTGTCAAACCAATGAGCCAAATAAAAAAAAAGTTCAGAAAAGTTCTGATTTCATTTTTCAGTTCAAATAAGCTTGTTAATACTCATGCTCACACCTCACATGGAAATCTAAGATAAATCAAGTCTTGGGACTTTCTTCTGGATAACATAAGATGTTAGGTTCTTAGCAACATGCTCTTCACTTTGTTTTCACCAGACTTTTTCTGTAGCGTGTTCTTTGACAATAGTCAGGGAACAGATGGGATAAATCTTCCAATGAAGGTAGTTAGCACTCCAACTGTTTCAAGGTACAATACGTATTAATTCGGAATATGGACATGGGACAAAATAACTCATTTCTAAGTCATCACTTCAACTTTAACAGAAAATTGTCCTAACACAGAGAAAGATATGAGGATCTATATAATGAGTTTATGGTTTCTTTATTAAAAGAAGCTTCACTGACATCAATATTTTGAATATTTTTCTTTGGAGCCATGGAGGATTTTCCCATAGTAAGATCTGAAATGCAAGCCATTCCTTTTTCTTTTTAAAAGTAGAGAAAGGCATTTGTGTAAAAAGAGGTGGGAAAGAAGAACCAGGAGTGCTCTCAGGTAAACCAGTTTTAAGAAAAAAATATACATGAAGATTCTGGGAATTAAGTTTCTTAAAATACACATGCTCCTGTATTCCTTATGTTGGGGAATCAGCCCAGACACAACCTAAGAAGTAACGAGGGTTGGTGAAGAGAACGACATTAAGAGAAAAAAGTAAGAGTGCATAAAGGTGGGCTCCCAGGGGGCCGTTGCAAGTAGGAGGATGGGAAGGCCCCGAGCACTGGAGACCTACACTGTTTATTGAGTGTTTAAACAAAGAAGCATGTGCTCAGGGATGTGAGGGGTGAAAAGGAAGTGAAGCAACAAGCAGATGATCTATAGCTGTGGTGGCTTGGCATTTCCTTGGGAGGTATAGAGCATGCTCTACTTTAGATACACTGAGTAAACAGTTAGAGGAAAAGGCTGCAGCTACAGCCAGCAAGTCTGCTCTAAGTCTGTTGCTTCAAAGAGGTCTTCCTTGCTTTGAGCACGGAGCATGGTCTTCCAGTAACTCCCATCCTGTGCCAGATAAGCAGACTATGTGTCAGCCTTTCTCTCAACACCTTAGGCATGTGTCCCCAGTTTGAAGACTGTTCACGTAGAGGATATATTTCAACAGCCTGTGGAAGCTCCATTAAGTTGGGTCTCAAGTTAACATCCTCTCGTCAGCCACAGATCGGAGGCCCATGGAGGACTCCAGGCCTTAGGAGACAGAGGGCTGGCTATTTAGGAGGAGCATGGACCCATGAATGACTGAATAGAGCAAAGTCCTCTCGCCAGCCTATGCAGGTGTGGGTGAGAAATAAATCTTTGCTGTGTTAAGCTACCAAGGCTGTGGGATTGTTTGGTATGGCATTTCGCCTCCTTGTACTAAAAGAGTAGCTGATGGTGGCCAATAGGATCTCACCACTGCAGGAGTGAAGTGACTGCCTTGTAGCCAAGAACTGCAGTGTCCAGATGGGAATTCAACAGGAGACACAGCCAATTCTTGAGAGATAAGACAGCACCAGGGACAGCCAGAACAAAGCCAAATCGAAGAGAACAGACTACAGATTAAAGAAACTACAGACTTCACAGCAGGTGCCAGCAGAATTCCCAGGAGTAAGGCCAGACAGCTATTCTCCGTGGACACCAGATAACATACAACCACAGTCAGTTACCACCTTCTGCCCTCAACACTACCAGGACACAACAAGTTCTCATATATCCAACTACCACTTCGCGAAGAGTAAAGAAACTCCAAAAGACTGAATGTTTAAATAAACATTCAGTTTAACCTTATCCTTAGTAAGGAGTGGACCCTTCAAAAGAAGAAATATTTAACCTGAAAGAAGACTGTTGTGCTTATAAGAGCCCAAGACACTGTTAATTGGAAAAACCCAAGAATTTCCATTACCCGGAGTCTATAAAGGTGTTCAGGTTAGTCAAAGAAAAATGGACTTTTGGAGGGGCATATTAACTATGTGTGAATTTGTGATCCTGCTACACTCTTTTGGCATAAATGTAAGGAGTACAAGTATAATTTTGTTACATAAATACATTATGTAGTGGTAAAGTCTGGGCTTTTAGTGTAACCATCACCCAAATAGTGTATAATATACCCATTACCTGCTACTTTTTTTTCTTTTCATCTTATAGCTATAAAATCTAGTTCAGATTAAAAATACATGTGAGGCCGGGTGTGGTGGCTCACACCTGTAATCCCAGCACTTTGGGAGGCCAAGGTGGGTGGATTATGAGGTCAGGAGATAAGAGCATCCTGGCCAACATGGTGAAACCCTGTCTCTGCTAAAAATACAAAAATTAGCTGAGCGTGGTGGCATGTGCCTATAATCCCAGCTACTCGGGAGGCTGAGGCAGGAGACTCACTTGAACCAGGGAGTTGAAGGTTGCAATGAGCTGAGATCGCGCCACTGCACTTTAGCCTGGCAGCAGAGGGAGACTCTGTCTCAAAACAACAATAACAACAACACACATGTGAGAAAAAGTTTCAAAAAATGTGTATATATGAATATAGCCGAATACTTCAGTATTATTTCTGCAATTTCAGTAATAGCAAGAAGTGTGTGATCTGTCCATGTGTCCAGATTCTCTGGAGATGTTGTTCAATAAAAGTATGGAGCATTGAAAGCAATACAGTTTCATTCTGCAAAATCACTTTCCTAATGGCGCATTTTGTCAAATTATTATATGTGACTGTATACCTTGACTGGAAGGCTGGTTGATTAGCAGGTTTTACCAAGTCCATTGAAGAGAACAGAACTTTAATTCCACTCAAAAGATTGTTAAATTGGGCTTTTATATCATGTGGTGAGTTCAAGCCAATTATTCTTTTGAGTCATAAATATGCAACTGCCACATAAGATAACATCTTTTAAAAAATGAAGGCCTCATACTTTAAAAAAAATTATGGAGGTAGACTCTCCCAGTGTTTAAACACTTATAGCAGTAGGAAAGAGCAGCTTTTGGTAGCTGGATTCACTGTTGCAGGCCACAAGGATTCCATTCTTAGTGGTATGTTCTTCAAATTCGATTTCTAATGATGATGGTTTGCCTCTTAGAAATTCATTCATACTTTCTCTCGGAGCTCCCCCTTGTGACTAGTGGCCCCAGTTTTGGGGCAGTTGGTTGTAATAATTAAAATGCACACTCTTTAAGGAGGCCCTGCGAGTCCCCCAGCTTCCCTCTATCATGGAACCTTACTTCATTTTCATAACCACTCGCTATTTTCTGCATATGCATTTCTTTACTGAGTTACTGTCAGTTTTCTCTCATTAGAAAATAAATGCCATGAAAAGATAGACCTCACCCCAACTTTCTCACCTTAGCACCTCTGTTTCTAGAACGGTACTTTTTATGAGTCGGGGGTCTCATTCAATTGCCCAGGCTGGAGGGCAGTGGCACGACCACAGCTCACTGCAGCCTCCAACTCCTGGGCTCAGCTGATCCTCTTCCCTCAGCCTCCCAAGTAGCTGGGACTACAGGTGCATGCCATCATGCCCAGCACATTTTTTTCTTGATAGAATTCAATAAACAGTTTTGTAATGAGTAAATTTTTGGATATTAATTATGAAGCTGTTTCCTTTATAAGAAATTAATAAAGAAAAATAAGATCTGTAATTTTTTATTTACAGACAGTATTATAATCATTATTTACCATCTATACTAATTAGACTAATATAAAAGGACATGGTTTCCATAAAATAGTTTCTTAAATAGAACAACTAAACTCATTTACATAATAGAGGTATCTAGATTACTAATTTATTTAGTACTTCTCAATAATCCTCTGTCTGGTTCTAATGAGACTATAATTCAGACCTTCAGCTCTTCTCCTTTAAATCCAAGTTACATTTTATATCTTCCAGCTGTTAAGAGTATTATATATTATTTCATATCTTTAGTTTTTCAGAAAGTTCATGAGTTTTAACAGTAAAACTGTTAAAGTTTCAATATATTACTTTAAGCTTATCTATATGACATTTTAAAATATCCAACTAAATCATCATTTAGTAATTGAAGGTTTAAGGCCACATTTTAGCTATATGGTTGTTTATAAAAGTGTACTGCTAATGAAGGTCTTTGCCATTTAAGGAAGGTGTTTTTCTTTCTCCTTTAGCTTGAGATGTTAGACCTAATAAAAATGAATGTCATCTTAAATATCAATTGAGAGCCCAGAATCTGTGACCCTTAAGCATAGAAATTAGTATTTTCCAAACTCCTGCTATTAAAAGTGAATTCAAAAGAAACAACTAAGAATCCTCTCAGAAGCCCTTTCCTTTTCCTGTCATATATGAGATTAACTTTGTTTTTTGCTTCTTTCTGTCTTTCTTAATGCAGTGAGTGTGGGTAAATGTCTGAATAGATACCAGATTGGTTTTAAAATTCTCCCAAATTTTAGTAGAGACATATTAACGCAAAAACTATTATTCATATTGGTTTGAGAGTTTTCAATAGGGATTTTCTTTTAATAGTTCTTGTCTTTCTGAATAATAACCAATGCATAATTTCCCCTTTTTAAGAATGGATCACAGTTTAGGGAAATGAATAAATCAAAACCCATCTGATTTGGTTAAAATTCAAAACCAGTAATCACTTCAAGAATAATTAAAATAGTGACCCAATTCACATTCTAATGGCATCTGGGCTGTAAAGGGAAAGGCAGATGAGGCTCCTGTTTAGTCTTCTTTACTCACTCGGTGGCTGTGGCATTCTCTGACCTCATTATTATTGTTCACTCTTCTCAAGATCAGGAATGAGAATATTTTCTTCTAAATGTGCTGTACTAAAGTTGGTTGTAGGATAGTAAGGATTCCGAAATCCTGCAAGTCTTCTGAAGAAGCCACCATTCTGCTTGTACATGCAGAAGGAAAGTGCGACAATGGCCAGAATGACTAGCAGTGTCAGTACTACTGCAAGAGGAATTATGCTGTGACTTGGCCCTGAAAGGAGATTTTTTTAAAAAAGGAAAACTTCAGTGATGATGAAGTAATATAGATACTGTCATACAGTTGGTTTCTATCTTATTTCTAAGAAAAATCAAAATGTTCTGTATAGTTTCAAACATACCTTTTTCTGGCTGCTCCTCTGCAGTGCGAATATCTAAAACCAAATACAAAAATTAAAATGAGTTTTTAAAAATTCAGCAGAAATGCCATTGCTTACAGCAGGTGTCAGCAAACTATGGCCCATGGATCAAACTGGGTCACCTGTTTTTATAAAAAATGTTTTACTGGAACTTAGCCACATTCATTCATTGATGTATTGTTATAGCTGCTTTCGTGCTACAATGGCATGTGACAGAGGCCATATGGCTCCCAAAGCCTAAAATGTTTACCAGCGGGCCCTTTACAAAAAAAGTTTGTTGAGCCTTGATTTACTGTAATCATCGTTATTAGTGCTCACAAACACGCATCTTTTTTTTTTTAAGCCAAGAACTTTCCATTCAGTCTCAGCACTGTGCTGCAATAAATCTAGAGTAAAATATAGGCCCTGCATACAAGAACTCACAGTTTTGTTGGGATCTTATATGGAGTTTGTTCAGCAATAGTAATCTGCTTGCCTCTGTGTAAGGATTTTAAAATCAGCGTCTTCTCACCTTTGTGATCTCATGTATCTTGGGGAATGAGCAACAGCTTCTCTATCCAAAAAGTTAGAGTTCCTGTTTTAAAACTTTCTACTGTAAAAATACATATTTTAAGTAGATGTTATATCAAAATGTGAACTCTTATTTTTGATCTAGATAAAGATCCAGAGAAAGATTCAGAGAATGAACTAGAGGAAGATGAATAAATGGGTTTGTGAGTAAAAGAAGTGCCTTGATGTCTTACTGGTGCTCATTCACTCTGATAGACATGAAAAAAGAAAGAATCAACACTGTTAACAATAGCAAAACCATATTTTTAAAAAACAGACTTTTTTTTGAGATGAAGTCTCATTCTGTTGCCCAGACTGGAGTTCAATGGTGCTATCTTGGCTCACTGCAACCTCTGCCCTCTGGGTTCAAGCAATTCTCTTGCCTCAGCCTCCCTAGTATCTGGGATTACAGGTGTGCACTACCATGCCCATATAATTTTTGTATTTTTAGCAGAGATGGGGTTTTGCCATGTTGACCAGACTGGTCTCGAACTCCTGACCTCAGCTGATCTGGCTGCCTCTGCCTCCCAAGGTGCTGAGATTAAAGGAGTGAGCCACCATGTCCAGCCCAGACTTGTTCTTGTAATATAAAAAGAATACCATATCGTGTTGCACTGAACTGTTGAAAACATGTATTATTGTGTTTTTATGAAGATACTTCTTTTAAATTGATGTATATCAGATGTACAAATTTTTAGGATACAAGTGATAATTGAATACAGTCATGTAATTTGTATAGTGTACTTGGGATAACCATCACTTTAAAGATACATCTTTAAGAAAGACTGTTAAGAGTGTCCTTAGGATAGAAGCAGTGGGCAGCATGGAAGGAGCACTTAGGAAACTGGGAGTTTTCTCTGCAGTCCTTGATGTAGCCTCAGTTTGGACAGGCATTTTTCCCATCTGCAAAATGGGGATATTTTAATTGCTCTGCTACCTTGGAAAGCTGTTGCAAAGGATGAAGCAGGTGTTATTGGCATTACAGGAAGCTTTCAAGTCCTGTAAGACAAGAGGTGTTTTTGATATTTAAAAGCTAGTGAAAATTTGGGCACATTATGTATTAGGCTTAGCCATGCTTTTCACACAGAGTTGAGACTCACACTGTGGGGGTTTCAAACCCTGGTGCCCACACCTGCAGTGTTTTCTCCTTCATTCCCAGCACTGAATCAGTCACCAAGGCCAGTGATTCTGTCTTCCTATTTTTCCCTTCCTCTTTTATTCCTAGATCAATCACTAAAATTACAAATGCTTCTCTTCATATCCTCATGAGTTCTACTGCTTCATCACAGGTGTCTACAGAGCACATAGGGGTTCTGTCTCTTCCACCATGAAGTTCGGCTATTTAGCCTGGCATTCTGTGAAAGTATCCTACATTACTGTCCAATTTTATTCCCATCACCCCCTAATGTGAGCTGTTTGCACTCACTGAAACACATTCTTAGCTGCTGCCTTTTACACACTGGGCCTTTTCTTCTTCTGTTCCAACTTCTATAATTCTCCTCATCCTTTGGGATCTCAAAATCTCATGTCGGAAGCCTTCTCTAGCAGTCCAAGCCACAGCAATCTCTCCTTTATAATACTTAGGACATCTAGAAACTGTTGTAATTATTATAGACATCTTCCCGCCATCAGCAATCCTCCTTAACACCGTGTCTTAAAAAACTCTTCAGTTGTTTGCAACTGACTAGAATTTTCCAGCTTAGATTTCTAAAATTTGTTTTTTTTTAATTACTAAACACTAAGTATGTTGCTCATGATTAAGTTAAAATGTGACTTTTATGACACATTATGCTTGCAACAGAGAATCACATTTCCTTGTCTTCAACAAATACACGTAAGCCTACATTACATTTCCTGAGGCCAAACATAAACCTTAAAAATTCTGAGTAGCAGTCACCTGAATGAAAGTTGCTGGTTTACATTCCTAGTTCTATTTGCTTGAGGGACATTGCTTTTTTGCTCTTTAGGTGATCAACCAGGGTGACACAAGAAAAATCATAGTCTTTAAGTTGATTTATAATGATATTTTTTCCCATATCACAGAAAAAAGGAGCTGCAATATTCTCTGAATTGTTTGGTACAGAACGCAACAATAATGTCAGAATCCATCTAAATACTCTCTAAACTTGGATTTAAAAATCTTTAAATGCTAAAGGGGTTGGTCAACATTAGTTAAGATAGAATCAAAATGAAGAATTACTCTCTGATTTTACCTACCTGCCTCCATTTTACATATAAAGCCCTTTTTTTCTTGGCACGGAGACAGCTGCCATAATCCTTCAGGGATCCTCAGGGCAACACAGTGATGGGGCTTGAAGTAGTCTGTGCCTGGCTTCCGAATGCCCCAGTTTGACTGGTCTGTAGGAGTTCCATCAAACCACTTTATGGTTTCATCTGTGGGAAAATTGCTGACTCATTATGAATTATGTGCATGGTTATCAAACATACTAAGACTGGAATTAACCATAAAAAGCAGCCCCTGAATTTAATGAGACTCTTGAACTGATTCATTCAACTCAGTAAATATAGTCATGAACTCAATATCAAAAGGTAAGCATTAATAAAGTTGCCTGTTTATTTTAGATACAACGTTCTAATTTAGTTCATTTAGGTTGTCATGTTTCTTAATGTGACAGTTTGAATTTTGAAATATTCTATATTTTTATAATCACTTTAAATAAATCATTTGATAAACAAGACTAATCAAGTAAAGAAAAGTCCTTTCAAGTCCTAACATCTTTATCATTACAAAATGGCTTTCTAAAATGATTTTTTTTTTTTTTTTTGAGATGGAGTCTTGCTCTGTTACCCAGGCAGGAGTACAATGGCGTGATCTTGGCTCACTGAAACCTCCACCTCCTGAGTTCAAGGGATTCTCCTGCCTCAGCCTCCTGAGTAGCTGGGATTACGGTGCCTGCCACCATGCCCAGCTAATTTTTGTATTTTTAGTAGAGACAGGGTTTCACCATGTTGGTCAGGCTGGTCTCGAACTCCTGACCTCATGATCTGCCCGCCTTGGCCTCCCAAAGTGCTGGGATTATAGCATGAGCCACTGCACCCGGCCTCTAAAAAGATTTTACAGTGAGTTTCTTTAATAGCAAGCCAGCCATGTACCAAGAGGTTAGGGGCAGTAGGAGAGTCCGTGTCATATGTGGGCAATAAAGGGGAGTGTATTGTCTGAAAATAATTTAAAACTAACAATAAAACGAACTAAAAGTCGGTCTGCTTTTTATTATCACCATCTGCTTGAAATTCTAAATAATGTTGGTGATTAAAAATCCCTCCTTGAAAGGGTAGGCTACCCCCTAACTTGGTACACCACTGTAACAGGCTCTCCATACCAATTAAAATAATTTTCTCCGAAAGTACCTTTCAATAACCATCAATTACATAAAGAAAATAATACCATGCTTCCATTTTATTACAAACTCTGGTTTTTATGAGTAGCAAATAAGAATCCTAACAGCACAGTTTATCATGGAAACATTTTCATAACTCTATTGTGCTTTTATAACATTTAGAAACCAGGGATATTTTCAAGTAAATATGGTTTGGGTATGCTATGGCTAAGTCTGTGAACACAAAGTTTTAGCCAAGCATCTTCCTGCTAAGGATAAAGATAAACATGTTATTGTTTGTTTGCTTTTATTTTTGGTATTCCAGGATTTTTTCAAAAGACAAAAGGGTTCAGAAAAGGGTTCCAATGTTGTTTTTGGAAGATTCCAAATGGCTTTAGGCTTCATGCTATTTTTTCACAGCAAATGTATCCAAGGAGAGTTTTCTGGCTCACAGATGCCATTATCATCAGCTTTAACAACCATGTATTTATTTATGTCCTCTCCTCTACCCAAATCACTTACTGTTACCATCAAATTGAGCATTCAACCAAACCATCTGGACAGAAGAACAAAACGCAAACAGCTCTTCTAGGAGAAATGCATTTTCAGCCTCATCCTTGATTGTTAAAAGATTAGATCCTGTAAGAGAGACAAGTAGCAAAGGAATATTTGTGTTTACACGTAAATATACTTTAAAATGTGTTTCCTATACCATTATTTGCAAAGCACAGGTTTTGAAAAGTGAAAATTTCCTTGTAAATAAGAGATTTTAAATGAAAAAACTTAAAGAAAACTGCATTTTAAAAAAGATACAAGCTTGCACTTCAGAAGTTAAGGCATAGAATATTAATTTTAGGGAACATTCAAAATTCATAATGCAAATGCATGCAAAAGGAACGTTTTCTTCGGAAAGTGCATTGTGCTGAGACATCATCTTAGGTGTCCAAATTCTATACTGGACATTGTTTCATTTAGTAGCTGTCCTCCAAACAAGCAACTTCAAATAGTATGTATTTTTTCAATAGTTTTTGTTGCTCCTAAAGTCACTAAATATTGGGATGAATAAAGAAATTCACATTGTTTACTGAAATGGCAAGTAGGAGCACATGAAAGCATTTTTACCATCACAAAAACAATTACCTTCCTTTTTGCAAAATTCATGAGCAGCCTCAAAACTCATACCATCTAGGACTGTAGAAAAACTGTAGCAATTACTTTTAAATTTTATCCAGGGAATAGATGTTTCTGAGCACAACTCTGGGTGTTCAGATGGTCTTGTTTCTGTGAAGAAAAACCAGTTATGATTTCAGAGTGGTGACTGGGTTTATTTATTGAGATAAATATTACATTACATTCTATAAAAGACCAAGATAAATAAATGTAACAAGATTTTCATGGTAATATTCTAAAAGATTGGGTTTCATGTAAATGATTATAAAACTAGAACCAGCTTATAGCATTTCTGATGGAAATAATCTTTACCTAAACATAACAAGATATGTTAATGCACAGCTTTGGAGGCTTAGTTTGGGTGCTGCCTGGGTGAGGGTGGCTGTCTTTCATGTTTACAATTAGCATCCTAAAGGTTGGAACAAGTAGGGGCTATGACTCCTGGAGAGAGTGGCAGCTGACTGATGCTGGCAAGAGATTTCCAAATGTATGCGCTTCACGCAGTGCTGTGTATCACAGATTTGAAAAGTCCTTACCCACCAATAAACCTATGAAAGAAAATAAGGCATTCCATAAAGCATCATAACATAGCATAACATAAAATAAATGAGGGAACTCCAGGGGGACTTTATTTCAGAGAGCAAGTGTGAGAGTCAGACACATCCATGCTGCGATCCCGGCTCCACCACTTACTAGCTGTGTGGCCATGGGGATGTTACCTTGCACTTGGTTTCTTTAGCTATAAAAGAGAGTTAGCAACAAAAACTTTAAAAATAATTTTTTTAATTAAAAACCTTTTTTTAACAGACAAAGTCTCGCTCTGTTACCTAGGCAGAAATGCAGTGGCACAATCACAGCTCACTGCAGCCTCAAACTCCTGGGGTCTAGTGATCCTCCAGCCTCAGCCTCCCAAGTAGCTAGGACTATAGGCACACACCACGAAGCCAAGATAATTGAAAAATTATTATTATTATTATTATTATTTGGTAGAGAAGGGGTCTCACTGTATTAACCAAGCTGGTCTCAAACTCCCGGCCTAAAGAGGTCCTCCTGCTTCTGCCTCCCAAAGTGCGGGGATTACTGGTACGAGCCACACGGCCACCTTCCTTACAATTTGAGAAGTTTAAATGAGTTAGAGCCTCACAAAGCATTCAATAAATGCATTGTTATTGAAAGGTCATGATTCCAAGAAAAGGCAAGTGCTAACAAAAAAAAAAAAAAAAAAAAAAAAAAAAGGAAAAACGGGAAGGACTGCTTTTATGGTGTTTCAGAAGCAAAATTAGCTTTTCCAAGATATAGGTGGCTATCATTTACATTTAATCCTGAATTGTTTTGATCTAATGATATATAATTTGTATGTTATTTGATACAGTACCCAGAATGTAAGTAAATACATGTGCTTTTACTAAATGAGATATTTAAAAGGAGGCCAGCTTGTGTTAGGGAATTCCATGCAGGAAACTTGATTTCTACTCTTGGTACTGGTGATGGACAGCTGTGAGATATTCAGGAAGTTACTTAATGCTCTGAGTTTACATTTCATGTTTAATCAATGGGTAGACCAGGTGAACTTTAAGTGTAAATGAGATATTATATAAAGTGCAGAGCCAGATATCTAGTAAATATCCAAACAATATCATCGTTGTCATCATCATCATCATCATCATCATCGTGGCTCTGGAATCCTATCAGTCATTGACTTAAACATGCATCCTCAAAGTCCTCCACACATGCTTGAAGCCCATGTTTCTCATCTAATTTCCCACCCCTCCTTTACACCTAACCTGCATTCAGGCAAATCCCAACATCAGCTTTGCTTTACACAAGCCCAGTCCTGTCTTCCTTCCACATTTTCATCCGGCTTTTCTCAGAATGCCTTTCCATGTCCCATTATTACCCATCTACACCCACCCATTTATCTACTTGTATTTCCTTTCCTCCCTCCCTCCCTCCCTTTCTTCCTTCTTTCATCCTTCTTCTTTCTTCTTTCTTTCTTTCTCTCTTTCTTTTTCTTTCTTTCTTTTTTTTTTTTTTTCTCTCTCTCTTTCTTTTCTTTCTTTTTTCCTTCTTCCTTTCTTTCTCTCTCTCTCTCTTTCTTTCAACAGAGTTTCACTCTTGTGGCCCGGGCTGGGTTGCAATGGCATTGACCACAACCTCTGCCTCATGGGTTCAAGAGATTCTTCTGCCTCAGCCTCCCAAATAGCTGGGATTACAGGCATGTGCCACCACACCCGGCTATTTTTATATTTTTAGTAGAGATGGGGTTTCTCCATGTTGATCAGGCTGGTCTCAAACTCCCAACCTCAAGTGATCCACCCATCTCAGCCTCCCAAAGTGCTGGGATTATAGGCATGAGCCACCATTTATCAAGGCCCATCTGCACTGCTGTGTCCTTCAAGAAGCCTTTCTACCTTTCTCCAAATGGATATGATACATTCTTTTTCTTGATAACCCCCATAACATTTGCTATCTATCTTACATCATTTGTAGTTCTACTTTTCTTTATATCACCACCCAGACCAGAGGCTTCTTGAAGACAGAGACTTCTTACTATACTCATCCTCATAACCCTTGCTTAGCTCAGTGCCTTGCATACAGTAGTTACATAGAGTGTATTTTTGAGTTGAGTAGAATTGAACCTACCAGGGACCACATGACAAACGGCACCTTGCAGAAATGATTCACAGGCTGTTCTATGCCAGCGTCCATTGGTGTCGGCAAAAACACAGTCACCAAGGAAGGATGACTCCTCGTCTTTCCAAAAAGTGAAAGAGGATTTCGTGCCATCAGACCAGTCAAAATTAAGACCATTCTGTGGAGGAAAACTGAGCCATCATTTCTTTGCCACAACTGCTGGCAGCATCATCCAATGTTATCTGAGCATACTACAATTCCCACATTGATTTATATTTCCACACCCCATTTTAAAGAGGGTCTAGGACCTCTGTGAATACAGCTTGACAAACAGGAATATCTGTCACAAATGAGATCTTTTTTTGATTTTTAGGAATTCTTGGCTCCCTATCACTATGATTTTCTAGTGAGCAATCAGAGTGAAATTGGACCAGTACCTTGTCTTTTACACTGAAATAAATTTCAGATTAAGCAAATTCTCAAACATAAAATTGACAACATAAATGTGTTAAAGAAAACTTGGTTAAGTTTTTTTGTACTGTTGGTGCGGGGAAAACCTTTCTAAGTCATAGAAAATCCAGAGACCATACAGCAAAATTGACTACATAAAGTTAAAACATTCTGTACTACATGAGGCAATAAGTAATTGTGAAATAATTATTTTTTACCTCTCCCACTTGCAAGGATTACAATTTTGATAATACTTGGTGTTGGCAAAGATGTGAAAAAACTAGACTTTTGCACATGCTGTTATTGGCATATAAATTGGTGCAAACTCTTGGAGGGCAATTTGGTAGTACTTGTCAAAATTTAAAGTGTACTCAGCAATTTTACTTCTAAGAATTTATCGGCCACGTGCAGTGGCTCATGCCTGTAATCTAAACACTCTGGGGGGCCGAGGCAGATGAATCATGAGGTCAAGAGATTGAGACTATCCTGGCCAACATGGTGAAACCCTGTCACTACTAAAAGTAAAAAATTAGCTGGGCATGATGGCGCCTGCCTGTATTCTCAGCTACTGGGGAGGCTGAGCAGGAGAATCTCTTGAACTGGGGAGGTGGAGGATGCAGTGAGCTGAGATTGGGCCACTGCACTACAGCCTGGGCAACAGAGTGAGACACTGTCTCAAAGAAAGAAAAGAAAAGAAAAAAGAATGTATCCTACTGGCACAGATATATTTGTTGTGCATTGTTTATAACTGAAAACCTAAGAAGAACCCAAATGTCTATTCACAGGAGTATGGTTTAATAAGTTGTGGTATATCCTTACATGCTGAGTTCTAAAGAATGCATGAGGTTTTTATATACTGACATGTGAAGTCGTAAAAGATATATTAAATAAAAAAGCAAGTTTAAAGACAGCATGTATAATAGGATCTCATTTGCGCTTGAAAAACAATATACATATTCTTCCATTACATGAGTATATATGTGTATATGGAACACATATATGTGTACATGGAAAATTTCTAGATAGCACACAAGACAGTATTCACAATTACTAATATTAGGGAGTAGAACTAGGGTTCAGGATAGAGTTTACTTTTCGCTACTTTGAGTGTATAATATTTTTATTTAAAAAATGAAAATAACATATTCTCTAAACCACATCCCTAGAGGAAAATAAAACCTAAAGTGTTTAATTATAAGGGGTACTCAACTAATTAATAATCACATTCCTAGACAAGAAACATGATTCATTATTTTTCTTGGGGATTTCTTAACTGCCGCAAATTCCTAAATGCAGTGCTTGAGTTCCGGATGTGTTCCACTGCACATGCAAGGCAGTATTGGGGCACTTGGAAATTTTCAGAGAACCATTGAAGGGTATTAACTTCCAGACATTAGGCAAGTGTATGTTTACCCTAAAGAGGTGTGCACTCTTATTTTGTAGGCATAGGCTGCTCATAAGGTTGGTCAAATAATCACATAAACCAATTATTTAAGCGTTATGTTTACTATTATTTTAGGGGTTTGTTTTTCAGTGCTACTTTCAGTGGCTACGTCATGGAGGAGGAAGATGCTAAAGTTAATTATGCAAGGATATTTCAAGGGCGTTAGGATACCTACATCTGCGGAGAACAGTCCAATCCAGTGGGAATATCCCAGCCGGTTGAGGACAACAGTGAGGAAGGACTGGTGATACTGGTCTGTGATGCTGACCAGCTGTGCTCCGTGCATCATGCAGGTTTTTATTGCTGCATACCAAGTCATATTTGCATGAATTATTTTGTAAGTTCTGTTTCCATATTCTAAGGTATTAGGGATTGGATACATGTCAGATGTGTTTACACTGTGTCCAGAAGTATCTAGAACAAGAACAGCAACAAAAGTCATTTGTAGCATCTGGATGAGAAAGGAGGAGGCAAAGCTTAGCATGGATCCTTGTCACTATGACCCAGGTTGATCAGACAGCTTTCTTCTGGACTTGGCTATTTCAAAATGAGGACACTATCTGAAAATGTAGGTGATGCTAAAAAATGAGAAGACTTAGGAAATTTAATGAATTATTTTTCAAAACCATAAACATAGATTGAACCATTTCTAGAAGATTTCTCATTTTTGACCATCCCTTATCAAATTGACTACTTTTTGGTGAACTGATGATGATCTTTGTAGGTGGATTTCACTCCACTAACTATGCTTGGCCTAATCCACTGCTTTGGCAGAACTTAATGCTTATAAATAGTAGAGAGGCACATGTTATGTAGTCATATGCTGCATTGCAAACCTAATATTACAGGTGTATATTATCAGGTAAAATACTTGATTACACTTTTGAGACTGATGGTCACTATTATGTTTAATGTTTGCATGTATACTTCTAAAAATAATTTAAAAAATAAAGGTAATAAATTCTTAGAAATACACACTGTTCTTATAAACAGTTACTATTAACATGTCACCTCTAAGAGCCAAGGTTTGCAAATTAAAAGGCAAGGTTTGTTCACATGTGATCATCGGTGGTTGAGAGTTCATGAGAGGCTGTGACCATGTGAAAACCAAGCCTGTGTTTTACAAACAGGTGTTTCCTCTCTGATATGTGCATTTGCCTTTCTGTTCTGTATTATGTTATGTACTAGAATAGACTTAAGGTTTAGAAACTCTAACGGACAAAAAACAAAGTAAGAGTTTTTGTACCTTCTGATCCAAAGTGACTTGAACTTCTGTGTACTACATTTGGTTTTACTACATTTGGTGTTGGAAGGAAGCATGTGAGGTATGGGCAGGTCACAAGACCTAGGACTTAATCCTATTCCTGGCCCTAACTGGTAAAGGGTCCTTGGGAAGATTAACCTTTCTTAACCTCGAATTTATGGTCTACAAAAGATGATTAGGGTCTCCCTTGGAGGGGTGTGAATAGAGCTGAATGAGATATCCACACAGGGCACACACTATTGCATGGAGATGCAGAGGCATCCTATGAATGTTGCTTCTTGCTCCACTCTCTTCCTCTGGTCATAGTCTCCCAGTAAAAATGGCAAAGCAGGAGACTGACCTTTATCTGAAGCTGTTACCTCAATATAGCAACCGTACATATGGTAAAACAAAGTAAAATAAATCTACTTAATTTCTATAAATGGTGATGGAACCCAATTTTATCATATTTTTACTCTTTGCTAGAAGTCTGTGCCCAGCCTATGTGCCCAGTGTAATGGTTGTTTATACAAAATCAAAATAATATCAAAGTAGCTATTTTAAAATGCTAACAATTCATAAAATTAAATGAAATTCTTTGTATAAGTTACCAAATGCCAATTTGACTGTTTTTTTCCCCAGAATTATATATCTGTATTTTTACATACATGAATTTCTCCATATGTAATTGATTTCATTAAATTTCAAAACAAGTTATTTTGAGCAGCATGGTTTTGCCACCCACTGCCCTGAAAAAGAAAGATCTATTGGAAACCCAGTTCTAAACTGTGGAGTCTTGCTTTGCCCTTGTGTCTCTTCTCATTCAGCGTTCTTAATTTTTTGGCAGATAAAAGACTTTGGGCTCAAGCCCAATGTAAGCACATATTTATCTGGCAAACAGAGAAGAGGAGCAGAACTTGAATATTTATTGTTGGCTACAATAATTAGTGTGATTGAACAATAATTTCTGGAAATAATAAAAAACTCTATCATTTGTTAAATATATGCTAGAAGTCTGCTAAGTGTTATATATACATAGAGTGTGTGAGATGGTTATCACCACATTTTGCAGCTACAGAAATCATGATCATAGAAGATAAGTAACTTGACTGAAGCTTATCTACAGAGGAGGGTGGGAACCCATGTGTGGTGGGCACTCCAGTGCCTATGCTCTCAATCACCACTATTCTGTACTATCTCCAAAGGAAAATTCACACTGTCAGTCCCAAAAATACCAAAGAGAAAAAGTGATCAGAGGCAAATTTCAAGAACAAATCAACATCAAGGTAGTGGAATAGAATCATTGTGCTTAACTGAGATATCTTGAGTGTGTTATTTTTGTTTTATTTTGTTTTCCCAGAGAGAGAGAGCTTCACTCTGTAGTCCAGGCTGGAGTGTGGTGGTGTGTTCTCCATTCACCGCAACCTCTGCCTCCCAGGTTCAAGCCATTCTCATGCCTGAGCCTCCCGAGTAGCTGGGACTACAGATGTCTGCCACCACACCCAGCTGCATTTTTGTATTTTAGTAGAGATGGGGTTTCAGCATGTTGCTCTGGCTGGTCTCGAACGCCTGAGCTCAGTCAATCCATCCACCTTGGCCCCGCAAAGTGCTAGGATTACAGGTGTGAGCATTGCACCCACAAGGGTTACTTATGTTTTTAAGTCTCAAGTTTCTTATCTGTAAAATGGAAGACTTTTACCTACTTCATAGAAGTGTTTTGAGGATTTTATGGCATATTGTGCATACACTCAAGGCACAGCGTTTGGTACATTATAAACGTGTAGGTACCTGGCATGCTCATATTATTTCTTTCCTTACAAGGCTCTGCTCTTCCCATGCTACTCTTGCTATTACATATCTAGTATCTTCTTTCAGTTCTTGAACACTATAATGTTTAAGTGGTAACTGAGAACCAGAAATGGAGCTTCCCTGGCACTGCTTTTTTGAGGATGGGTTGATAGTAACATTAGAGAGTTTACACGTATGCCATAAGAAGTAAAATTCATATTCCAAGTAAGCATATATATTTGCTAGGCTGCCCAGAGTTCCACACAGCTCTAGATACCAACTATGACTTTCTCAGGTGGTATGGACAGGGATACCCAGCACTCAGTAAAAACATGAGCTGCGCCGGGCGCGGTGGCTCAAGCCTGTAATCCCAGCACTTTGGGAGGCCGAGGCGGGTGGATCACGAGGTCAAGAGATCGAGACTATCCTGGTCAACATGGTGAAACCCCGTCTCTACTAAAAATACAAAAAATTAGCTGGGCATGGTGGTGCGTGCCTGTAATCCCAGCTACTCAGGAGGCTGAGGCAGGAGAATTGCCTGAACCCAGGAGGCGGAGGTTGCGGTGAGCCGAGATCGCGCCATTGCACTCCAGCCTGGGTAACAAGAGCGAAACTCCGTCTAAAAAAAAAAAAAAAAAAAACCATGAGCTGCTGTTTTTATTTACACTACTTAAGGTCAGTTATAGTGCATTCACACTGCTCATTGACCCTGTTGGCTATTTTGTAATAGTGTGGCTTTGGTATTTCACACCAGAAACCATTTGGGGGTTCTGCCCATCAGATCTAGAAACCTGCTGCATGCCACATTTGGCCACAGAGACCATTTTAGGGTTCCAGAAAAGGAGTAAGTATGAGTTGCTTTATTTCCCTAATTCTTTCCTAACATTTTTTCTCAGTGACCTTTAAAAATTAGCTGAACAGATACATAATCCCAGAAAGAAGCAATAAAGCCATTTAATATGACTAAGATAGATACATAAATTTGGTCAACGTTCAAGTGGCCTCGGCAGTCCTTATAATCCCACTAAAGGGCATTAGCCTAGGGTAGGGGAGATTAAATAACTAAACTTACATAAAGCCAAAGAATAAGTGCCTGACACTGTTAGCTGTGAAACTGTTAGCTACACAGCTGTGTAGAACCAACAATGGAAGAGAAGGATGGACTTTGGAAGTGAAAGGAATAAAAAGCCAAATATATCTTACCTTGCATTTTTTCACATACAAATCCATAGCCTTCCTTTCCACAGTCTTCAAAATACCATTTTCCAGTGAAATGAAAATTAGGATTACTTGACAGCAAGGCACAGAGAGGAATGTGTTTTTGAACTTCAGTGGTATTGTGACTTGGAATCTTTAAAATAATACATGTTATCAAGAGTATAATAAAATATAGCATTTTTAAAACATTAAAATTTTTATTATGAACATTATTTTTAAAATTAAGACAATTATTCCTTTATTTGCATTTAATAAACGTATTCACAAATTATTTCATAGCCTACAAAAGAAACAATTATTGTGATGAGTAAAGTAATTATATTTTTGGAACACAAAAAAATTATATAAAATTGGCCAGGCTCAGTGGCTCATGCCTGTAATCCCACCACTCTGGGAGGCCAAGGTGGGTGGTTCACCTCAGGTCAGGAGTTTAGGACCAGCCTGATCAATATGGCAAAACCCTGACTCTACTAAAAATACAAAAAACGAGCCAGGTGTGGTGCTGGGCACCTGTAATCCCAACTACTCAGGGGGCTGACACAGGAGAATCACTTGAACCTGGGAGGCTGAGGTTGCAGTGAGCCAAGATCACGCCATTGCAGTCTAGCCTTGGTGACAGAGTAAAACTCTGTCTTAAAAAATATTATATAAAATTACATTAAAAATTAATATATAAATAACAAACTAATATAAATTTATATCTACAAAATATAGGAAGTAAAAAGCTTTAGTAAACAAGTCTTGAATAAAGTATCTTGCCAAAGTGATCTCTAAAAAATAAATCTTAAAACTTACATTTATTATATCAAATGGAGACCAGTTAGAATATACCACAGGCTTTCCATTTAGCCATTTTTCATAATCATCATTTTGTAAACCTATCCACACACTAGTGGTCTGGCCAAAAAGATTCATCGTAATGAAAGCTGAAAAACAGGAATACATTATCTAATTTAATACTGTAGAAAGCATTTGAGTAATCACTGAATCCTATTTATAGCTCTGATTATATTTAAATGCCAACAAAACATAATTATGAATCATTTGTAGGGATTTGCTACTTTATCCTTGTTAAGGTAATGCGGTTTCTTTCACTTTTGTTTTAGTTTAAATTGACAGAAATTAGCTGGATAACTTGAGATTTCATCATATCATTAGCAAATCAATTTCCAGTGTTCCTTAATTACCTTTCTAAATAAAAAGAGGATTTATCTACTATATTTGAACTAAAGTATAAAATTGTTTAAATACCAAATAAAAGCATGTAGGTAAATGTAAAGGAATCTAAAAATCATATTACCATGGTAATTACCTGTAATTACCATGCAATTACATGTAGACTATACATTAGATTCTTTTAGCTATTTTGAAATATAGGCCAGAAATATGTCCTTAATTCTTCCCACTGCTACTGGTGACAGAAAGGCTCCAAAACCCAGCAGTTTATAAGCAATGCAGCACACTAACTTTTACAGATGTCATGAAATAAAACCTATGGGTCAAACCGAAAATTCACGTATCATCTGCAATACAGTATTTTAAATGTTGATTTGGGAATGTTAGTATTGGTGGGGGAATATTTTAATAAATACTTGAATAAAAATGATTATCTTGGCCTGGTTGGACCTTGAGTACTCTACCTTGCTCTACTTCACTTTCGATGGCAACCAGGGTCCCCCCTTCTTCAGCACAGAAATGTTGAGCATGCATCCAGTTCTTCCAACTGCTTGGGTCTTTTGGGATATTCAGCAAAAGGCACTATCAACAAATGTCAAAACAAAAGGTTCATTTCTGTATTTTTCTAAGTGAATTAAAACTTTCCCAAAGACACTGAATATCAGCTTTGAAAATTCTTTATAATTTTCTTGGGCAGAAGGAACTCATTTTTCTTTCAACTACTCCAAAGATGTTACAATAAAACAAAGAGGAGCAGCTTTCAGGGTGACTTAGTGACTTGCTGCATTTGCAGGAACAGAAGCAGGGATGTGTTTTGTTATGTGAAATGTCAGAGCAGTGTCTGTCTTTGATATAATGAAAAGTAGTATTATTCCTAAAAAGGAGCCACCCTGATTGCAAAGTTTACACTGGCACATTTAATCTAAAAAAACATTCTGGGGGTGGCAATAAACAGCTTATTTCAATTTTATTTATAAACATACTTCTTTAAGTGAGAGAGAAATACCGGGGAATTAAAGCACATCAGGTATTTAAATTCACTAAATACTTGAGTCAGCTATTTGGTCAGTAAGTCCATAGGGAAGAGTCAGAGAAGAAAAATAAATGATCCCAGTGGGAGAGAAAGTAAGGGTATGACCAAGGAAACCTGGAAAGAAGTAGAAATGAAGGGGAAGGTTGGCCATCAATGTTAAAGGGAACACAAAAAAAGTTGTGGAATTTGGCAATATAAGTTGAGTGTTATGCAGGAGAGAATCATGTTTGTATCAGGGCAGAGGTTTCTTTCTTATGGGATGGGATGACAAGTGGAATGATATATACTCTGCAGGACAGGCAGGATTGAAGATAAGTTTGTTTGTTTTTCCCTGAAAGTTCAATGGAATTTAAGCATGTTTGTAAGACTAGATGGAGTTAGATGAGAGGAAAAGATAGAAGAGAAAGGTTATAATGAATCAGACAAAATTCCAGAGAGATCAGGAGAGACTTTATGCAAAGAATATTTCATCTGGAATTTGCTGGGGATTCTTCTCCCATATCAATTCTGTCATCAGTGAACACAGACAACCTTAGTCATGGATAGGTCAAATCCTGAGATCTTGCCACTGAGAAAAACCCAACTACAGGATAATTCTCGGTTAGCAGGGAAATCTACACCCGAACAAGCATCCTTTACTATCTTATTTTGGAATGATATCTGATATAGTTTGGATGTTTGTCCTCTCCAAGTCTCATGTTGAAATGTGATTCCCAGTATTGAAGGTGAGGCCTGGTGGGAGGTGATTGGATCATGGGGGCAGATCCCTCGTGAATGGCTTAGGGCCATCCTCTAGGTGATAAATGAGTTCTCAGTTCACATGAGATCTGATTGTTTAAAAGTCTGGAACCACTCCGCACCTTACCCTCTTGTTCCTCCTCTTGCTATGTGACATGCTCGTTCCCCATCACCTTCCATCGTGATTGTAAGCTCCCTGAAGCCCTCACTAGGAGCAGGTGCAGGCACCATGCTTCTCATACAGCCTGCGAACTGTGAGCCAGAATAAATCTCTTTTCTTTATCAGTTACCCAGTCTCAGGTATTCCTTTATAGAGATACAAGGCTGGTCTAATATAATACCTTTCCCTATCATCCTTTAATTTCCAAATTTGTCAGTCCCCCACCCACTCCCTACCATATATACCCCTTAAAAGCAGAGAGACTGTCTTATTCCTTTTTGAACATCACACCAGAGAAGGTCCCTAGCAAACATTTATTAAGCAAAATGAAAGCTAACAGCCCCTAAATGGTTGTCAAATGACATTGTCAAGCATTTCAAATTTAGCTCAGTGTTCTCCAACAGGATGATTTAGCCCCTAAGAGTATATTTTGATAATGTCTGCAGGTATTTTTGGTTATTACAATTGGGGAGGGGGTTGCTATTGGCAACTAGTGGGTAGAGACCAAGGATGCTGCTAACCATTTGCAAAGCAAAGGTCAGGTCAGTCTTCCAAAAGCAAGAATTATCCAGCCCCAAACGTCAATAGTGCAAAGTAATTCTTTTTAAAAATAAATCCTGATCATGTCACTCATTAGTTTAAACCCTTCAGGAATTTTCCAGTGCTCTTAGGATAAAAATCAGAAACCCCGAACTAGCTTGAAGTTGAGTTGCCAACTAAGAGAGAAAATACATTTTCAATTCTTCTGGTCCTTTTTGTCTTGTTTGCTTCACAAAGAAACTGAATTGGCTTTCAAGGAGTTAAATTTTATAACAACTATCCTTTTATCTATTTCCTTTTATTTTGGCCCTTTCCTCTAATTACAAATTCTAAAGAGTGGCACATATTAATTATTGGGAAGCCTTATCATTTAATGTGAATTCACCTTGTGTGCAGATAGTTACACTAATGAACCATTCATAAATACCAATGAACCTCATTGGTTCAGTTAGCTCAATAAATCTCTCCAGAAAAACACCCCCTTCTGCTTCCTCTATGTTTGCCTCAGCCAGAATTTACTAGCTTGACTACAGAAGTGTGGCCTCCCATTACCACGACTTCATTGTTTCTAAAAATCTAACATATTTACTAACACGCTCCGAAATGGTGTCATTAATAATTAAGGCAAAGCAGCAAGATGAAGTACAGCATCCTTAATTTAAAATTGTTTACTTACTAATTTGCAAAATGTGATCAAGTTTAATGTATTTCTGATTATTACTGTGAATTAAGGGGGTCTACTATATTCTAAATGGGGTTTTCAATATAAAATTCTTTTTTGTCTCAAAATCATTTCTAGCTCAATATTTGAAAATGAAATTCATGTTCCCTCCAAACTTGGTCTTTTCCCAGTGTTCCTACTCACATTTAAAGGCATGGTCAGCATGCATTTATACACATATAATAAGCCTGAAGCCTCAGAGGCATCCTTACCCTCTTACTCCATCACCCCAACAGCCCTACCATTTGGATATCTCATTTCCCAAAAAGCCTCCTTACCCATCCCCCATTCCCACTGTCTCATGATCTCTGCCACCACCATCTTAGCCAAGCTTCTAATCTCTTGCCTGCATTGCAGCAATAGCTTCCTAAGTGTCCTTACCTTTCTCACCCTTGCCCTTCTCCCATATATCCTTGGCACTACATCTAGAATAATGCTTTTTAAAATTTGGTTCTGGCCACATCCTTCTTTAGTTTTGAACTCATCAAGGGTTTCCCATTGCTCTTGGATAAAGGCCAGAACTCCAACATGATATCACCCTTTCCTACTTCTTTTGCTTCGCCTTCTACCCCTCTGGTTCTCTATGCTTCCTTTAGCTTCTTAACTATCATACTCTCCTCTTGCTGCAGGACCTTAGCACATGAGGCTCTCCCTGTTTTTAATGTTCCCTGTCTTTCAGACTACTTCAGTCAGGTCCTCCAGCTATACACTTTTCTAGAACCACATAACTTTCCTTCATCACATAAACCACAGTTTTAAATTATACAGCCATTTTCCTGATGGATTTACTAATGTTTGTTTTCCCTCTAGTGTGTAAGCACCGAAAGAGAGGGGGCTGTGTCTGTTTTTCCTCACTACTGAATTCCCAACATCCAGCATAGTCAAATGAATGAATGAATAATGTGCTCGAATTTGAATAAATTCCCAAAACAGGTAAGAGTATTTTTAAGGAAAAACTTTGTTATGCACAAAAATCAAACATTGACTAATCCCAAACTCAATGGTGCAAAGCAGCCATTACCACTCAATCCAGGTCTTGAATAAAAATATGTAATTAGAAGCACACACACACTTAGAATTTTTTCCTCCCACAGGTCTGCTGGGACAAGTATCTTAGATCCTGGGTTAACCCCTGGTCAAACCTCTTTTACACTGTCAAACACAGAGAACACTATTTAGAAAAGATGCTTAATTTCTGTGTATCTCAGTTTTTTAAATTCTAAAAGGTCGTTAATTTGTCAACAAAGTGGGATTTTTTTTTTCTCAGAAATAACCAATAAAAATTAGTCCTAGGGAATTCACAAACAAGAAGCAAAGTTTAATGGGTCATAATATATTGGAGCTCATGTCAGAATTGTAAAGTATAGTTCCATCATTGTCATCTCCCAGTTTTCCTTCTAAAGCTTTATTTGTTAATAGGGAAAAACTATCCCACTCCTGTCAGCTATCGGTTCTCCTATTAGCAGTTTTTCTAATCATTTGATAAACCCATTTGTTTCAAGGTGTAGATGACAGATGAGGCAATCTCAGAAATATTTTCATTTTAAAAACAAAGGAAAGTGTTGGGACAAGGGAGAGAAGCTACAGTGGTGGAATTTTAGGCATTAATGTGCAGGGGAAGGCACTGTGGTTAGGGAGACATGCATGGTGACTTTGACACTGTGCCAGGTGAATTGCCACCTACTCAAGAAGCCTGCCGTGATCATATCCTTTGCAATCAAATTCTCCAAATGCCTTAAAGAAAGAGTTGTGGATCTATGACTGTTGGATTGCTGGGCAAATATTGGCTACATATTAGAAGAACTGAGGGAGCTTTTAAAAAATACAGACGCCTGGATCCCATGCAGATCAGCTAAATAAGAATCTTCAGGACGTCTCCTGCATCTTGATGTTTTAAAAAAGCTCACCTGCTGATTCTAAATATTTGACCAGGGCTGAAAACTACTGATCTAGCTGTTAGTTATCAATAAATATTTTTTATAACTCTGAGCTATGTGAAGGTGTTTTAATCATGCTCCAGGGCTAGCTTCAGAAGGCATCCTCATTCTCATGCATATATTTACGCCCCTCTCTATTCCTTTATTGGGAAGCATTCACTTGCTTTTTTGCCCTGAGTCTGCTCCACCATCACTGCCACCATGTCCATGCATACACATACACACTCTCTACGCATGCACAGGAGGACATGTGGGATAGAGTTGAGATGTGTGGGTAAAAATTGGGTTTGGGGGAAGGATTATAGCAAAAGCCTGAACAAGAAACAATTATTCTGGGTTTCTAAGAATTTTTTCTCAAATGTCAAGGATTTGGTTCGTCATTCATTTCCTTAAAATATCCTCTTTTACACATGAAAGGAGGCATGAGTTAGTAACTAGAACAACTGTGTTCAT